CTTAAACGATACAATATTTAAGTCCTTAGCCATCTAGTTTATTTCCTTATACGCTATGTAAGGTAAAGATCCAATTTCCTTTAGCGTCTTTTCTTTGGGAAAAACATTTTTTTCTAGCTCACTCATTGCACTGCCTTTGATCAGACATGTTACCTCGGACCCTTCTTTGAAAGTCACTTCAGGACCTCTTATTCCACTGACCGATTAATCCCCACACCAGTTTCCTGCTGTGTCAAACACAGTACAAGCTGATATCCAATAAGGAATTTTCTCCTCCCTGTCCTCTTAAGAAGCTATCTAATTATTCTCGTCCTATTAGTTTTTCACATATGTACAATCTCCTCATCAGCTTCGACAAAGATATCTGAGAGGACTGGAACTGGACAGAATCTACAGCTCCAGTAGAGGAATTGACAATTTATAATACCGAGTATTATCATGGTTTTGGCATTTATCCATTTTTAGATGTTCCTTAATGCTACAGAATTTCCTACAGTAGTTTTATATAACTTCTGTTAAGTTTACTTCTATGCCTTTAATATTCTGTTACTATTATAAATTTTTTTCCAGGTGTTTCTGGCTCTGGTGTAGAGAAAGGCAATTGACTTTTTTATTACTAGATGTTTGCAGTACAGAATGATCACATTCGTCATGGGAAGCTACTATATGCACACAGTACCTCTTAATTCCTTCTTTATCCCTCCCCCTCTATTCTCTCTCCTCTCTCCTCCCTCCATCTCTTGGTCCCCTTTGAATCTTTAATGTTTCTAAAATCCTCTTGTCTTCTGTACTAAGACCTCCACTACAGTCATTCTCTTGTTAGTGTTCTTTTTTTTCAAGAAATATTTCTATCACTGACCATTTGGTTTTTAACATTCTAGCAGGTTAAGAAAGTTAACTTCTAAATCTTAACTTGAAAATGGGTATAATTATGAATTTATGTTGAATACTACTGAAAGATTTTAATGTGTATATTAAAAATTTTCATGGTTAATTACATTTATAGATTTTTATAAACCATTTGTATTTGATTTTCTAATATATATAGAAGTAAAATAGGCTTGGAAATATTCTGTCTGTAAACTTCTATTTAAAAAGTTGTTTTCTGTGTAAATGAGCTTGGCAATATTCTTTATGTATATTCTGCAAGAGTTTTGGTAGATTGGGATAATCTGTTGTTTAATATCTAATATAACTATAAAAATTGTCTATATAAAATATTTTCTTGGTAAAATTAAATTTACCCTCTTTTGTCCAGGAAATAATATATACACATATAGTAATGTTCAAATTTTTAGATCTTATTGAGGCAGCTTTGACAAAAATTATTTTTTTAGTAACTTGTATAATTTTCTATGCATGTGAAATTACTAGATTATACGCAGAGATGGAGTTCCATTACGTGAACTGAATTTATTTTAGCATCTACTTTATATAAATTTATCCCTCTTTTACACTAACATTATTTATTTGTGCCTAAGTCTTCTTAGTCATTTCAGAGTTTTAGAATTTTACCTATTCAGTTATTTTTCTCTTTTATTAGTTTCTATTTATTAGTTACCATTTCTTAGAAAAATATATGAACATAAACATGAGGTATAAACTCTTCACCTATCTTCCTTTATACCTTATCCCATTATTCTTGCCACTTTCTGAAGCAGCTCTGGAAGTCTTCTCTCCTGAGTCCCTTTATGAGTGTGTTTAAAAACTGTGAATGGTGCTGCCCAGGGCCCTCCAACAAAAAGGCAGGCTTGTAAAAACATTACAGTGTGCTCTCATTCACCTTATTCACCAGACCCGGTGTGGTGCAACTTCCGGCTCTTCCCCAAAGTCAAACTGACCATGAAAAGTAAGCATTTTTAATTGACTCCGGACATTAAGGCATCTAGGAGAGTCAGGAAACAGCTCTCCAGAACTGCTTCAGAAAGTGGCAGCAACAGTGTGTTTGAAGGGTGCTTGAAGGGAAGGGGTATACTGAGGAGGTTAACAGCAATGCATCTTTTACTAGAGTAAATTTTTTATTTAAACTTTTACTGTGTGTTGTCAGACCTCATACAATCTTAATTCCTTTTTCAAAATGTTAATGGCTAATACCTGAAAACAATGGATTTCTGTACACTGTTCATGTATCTCTGGAAATTGCTGACCTTGTTTATTAGTTCTAGGCTTTTTCTGTGCTGACTTTTCAAGTGTTGCACATGTCTACACTTTCACTTGGATGTAGCTGGCTGATCGTAATGTATAAGTCTTGCACAACACTGGTGATCTTCTACATACTTCAGACCGACTACTATTTAAAGTTAAATATGAAAGTAACTGTTATTCAATTTTCCATTTTTCTGTTCAATTTTTTTCTCATGAATTTAGGATTCAAGTTGTTAGGTGCATTTGTATAATTGTTATATATTCCTAATGAATTCAACATTTTATAATCATAAAATGCCTTTTCCAACTAATAACATTATTTACTTGTGGACTATTCTGTCTAATATTAGTAGAACCATTACCTTTCTCATCTGGTTAATGTTTGGCTACTACACACATCTTTTTCTAGGCTTTTAATTTTAAACTATCTTCACATTTAAACGATGTCTTGTAAATCACATATGGTTGAATATTTTTTTAGCCAGTCTGACAATCTCTCTGTAAATTTTTTTTATGAATTTGAAATTCTTTAAGGTACTTAAGGATAATTCTCTAGATGAACTTGCATTGTTTTTTTATTGCTATTATTAAAATAAAATGGTCTGCTTTATCCCTAATAATAATCTCTGATCTAATATTTAAATAGGTACTCTAGATTTTTTTTCTAAAACTGTTATTATGGTGCATCTTTGCTTTTCCTTCTTTTTACTTTAAATGCCTTATATATTTATTTTAAATGCAGCAGATTTCTTATAAGTGACTTATAGTTATTTTTAATCTAATCTGATATCTTCTGCCTTTTCATTTGGGATATTCTGATTACAACAGTATGACTATAAGTTGGTTTGCCCTTATCAAATTGATATTTATTTTTTATTTATTCCATTCATTTTGAGTCCATTTTTCCTTTTCTGTCTTCTTTGGGATGAAATGGATTTTTTAATGGTTCCATTTTATCTTTTCTGTTAGCTTGTAAGTGATAAGTCTTTGATTTTTCTAAGGGTCACGTATGCATCTCTGACTTACTACAAGTCCTTTCAAGCATCATCATCTTATTATATAACATAAAACACTAAAATTGTATGTTTCGATTTTTCCTCTTCCAACATTTACATTACTATACTTTTATGTTTGTTGTAAATCCTATACTACATTGGTATCAATTTTGTTTAAATAATCAATTATATTTAAAGGTACATATGTGAGAAAATATATAAATATCAAATATCTTTATACACTAATTGTAACATCTGTACCAGTTCTTATTTAGCTGTGACTGAATTCCCCTCTCACTTTCTTACTGATCTAATTTATTTATTTCTGCATGCCTGGTGGTCTGTTTATTTATTTGTACACTTGGTAATTTTTCATTAGAACACTTGTGGATCTCATATTGCTGAATGTTAGTTGTGCCTGTATTCTAATACATATTTTTGAACTTTATTTTACACACAGCTTTATTATTTAGTACTATTTTGATCCTTTCCATTAGTTATTTAATTTAATTTTATTTAATTTTATCTATTTTGGCTTTTTGAGACAGGGGCTCGCTATGCAGTTCTGCCTGGTCTTGAACACACTGTCTCGCCCAGGCTGCCCCAAACTTGCAGTGATCCTCCTGCTTCAGCCTCCTGAATGCTAGAATTACAGGCATGCCCCACTATGCCTGGCTCATTAGTTATTTTAAAACTTTTAATATGGCATAGTGTTTAGTTTAGGGCTAGTTATTCCCTAATACTATGTAGTGAACAGGCAGTATTCTCAGGCAACACTACCTCTACTCATTTTGAATGCTTCTTTCTAGCATTAGTAGCTTCCTCACATTTATGTGCCACAGATCTTGGATATCTTCTCTCTTCTCCTCTTCAGTACTCTGTTCTGTGAATTCCAGGTGTTTTGGTCTCTGGATTCTTCTTCCTCTTACGCGTGGCCAGGAAACCTTCCTAAAGGGTAGGCTAGGGCAATTTTAGGATTCAACTCATTTGCTTTTCCCTTCTCCTAGTAGATGCTGTGCTTACTTGTTTGATCTGCCGTGTATTTCAAACAATTGTTTCATATATTGTGTTCATTGCCGTTACTGTTTGAGATGGTAAGGGAAATGCATCACAATTGTGAATAACAGTCTTCCTTGGCGGATTTTAAATTTTACTTTTCTATTCCAGAGGCTATTTATGTGAACTTCCTAGTCTTTCTAAGAAGACCATCTTTTTAAAATATACAAGTTTGTTCAGCTAAACATATTAAAAGTTTCCAATTAAAATTATCAAAACTAAGTTTACTGACCAGTTAAAAATGTAATGCCAATTTATAATAATTTCCCACATACTTTGTGCATGTGTGACATTCAAACCATGATGAACTGAAGTAATAAAATTAAGGCTATTCAGTTTTCCTTAGAATATATGGCAAAATTGCCAACATGTTGGAAACTAAAGCAAACATTGCAGTTTTAATTCTATTTTAAATCAATGCATTTAGGGTTTTAACACCAGCCCCCCACCAACTAAACACAATAAACTATATCCATTTACATTTAAATTTTTTGAAACAGTATATTCAACACAGTATATACAAAAATATACTTCACTGAGAAATAACACTATACTAAAGGAGACAGTATTAGACATATTAAAATCATAAATCACTATATTTTGACAAATGCTTTTTAATATCAAAATAACAAAGATGTAAACATGAAGATACTGGAAAAATTCTATAGGCAGAAAAAGGAAGCTACCAACAGATTGGTTAGGAATTTAGTATATGCACAATAGCCAAACAAAGCACAAAACAACAAAACCAATTAAACTGTGCATATGAATGCATGCATTAAACACTGGACATGCTAAATTTACCTGAATTATATGAACATAAGGATTTATCTGAAAAAAATGTTAAAGTAATGTCAAAAACACATTTTAAAATCTTTACATGTAAAAGGATGTGGAAATCTAATCTCCACTTTGGAGTACAGACAATATAGTATAGCATTTTTATTTTTAATGTGCAAAACACCACACTAATTCAGAATCAATTGGGTTGGGAAATATATCACATCTGAATAATTCAAAAACTCAAATTACAAATTATATTACAAGAAACTTTCACTAAATTCAAGGCCTATATGCTAAAAGAGCAGAAATTAGTAAGAAAAGAGAATTCAATTAGAAGTTATTTTAATAATTAGAAAATGACCTATGCATTGATTATCAATTCTATTTTATAATACAAAGTTATTTAATATAACCTGAAATTAAAGATATAATAGCCAGAAATTTACTGGTAAATTTAAATTGACTCTTAGAAAATACTCTTGATTTTGAAATTTCTGATTTTTGGAAAAAGCATATTTAAAAACTGATTTTCTTTTAGGAAGAATCAAACTTTCAAAATGTATATGGGAACAGTTATTTTTACATTTTAACTTGATAAAAATTTACATGTAAAATTTATCACAAGTTCACATGTAAAATATATCACAGGATGTAACTGGTTTTCCTATGCATAAATGATAAGGTTTATAAAGGTACAAAAACATTAAATATTGAAGAATGAATAAGTTAAAGTCTGAATACACAAAAGAAATATAGACCATATATGAACTAGTATGCCACAAAAACACCTGAGTAGTTAAAAGGTGCCAAAATACCTGAAAATTATAAATATTTATTCTTATATATGTCATTTGTTACTAAAATGATAATAAATCCAAGAAAATAAAATATATTCATAGTTTATTCAAGATCTTATTTTCTAGTATTCAATTATAAGCCTTACATTCTTAATGATACAATTTGGGACTTAATCTTTCTAATGGAAAAGTGGTGCTTCTGGCACATTCAGGAGAAGTCTCCATTCCGTTAGCCACTCAGAAAGCAGTTAAACAGAGTACTGTGAGGAGGAAGAAAAGAACTTTATCCAGGTCCCACTGCTGAAGTACAAGGGGATGTGTTAGAATGTAAGTACAGAAGGAGTTCTTCTTAGGTACAGAAAAACTGCAGCAATCAAAACAGAAAAAATAGTAGGTTTGAACAATTTTGTAAGAACTATAATATTTAACCAGGACATACTTTTCATAACTGATAATACCCTGAATAAACTAGATTAAGTTAGGATTAAAACAACACAAGGAACACAAATTATAATTATTAGGCCTGTCCACACTTAATATTTCTACAATTATCAGGTTTCAAACTTAATTAATTTTCATGTAACCTATATTTTATATATTAATCTAAATATTTAAAAAATCTATCCATTTTTTTCTCTGAATTTCCCTCTACTGATTTCATATAGACGGTTAAACATTCATGTTTTTCTAGCACTTTAATCTTCTGAATATTATATTTAAATTTTGTTAAATCTGAAATTATATTTGGTTTCTAAAGCAGTACTGCATTGATAAAGGCTCAAAAACTGTTTCTGTAAAAGAATAAAACTTCCATTTAAAATATTAACAATCTCCATAGTACAAAGACACCGATCTGACCACTCTAAGCCCACTCATGCAATCCCAGTGAAAGGGAGGGAAGAGACATGCACAACTGGCTGTGGGGAGAACAATCACACCAGCAGGTAAGGCCACCGCCGCACTGGACACTGCACTATCGCGGGAGAAGACGCAGACACAGCTGACATGTTAAAGACCAGCGATGCTTCAAAATGTCCCATATTTTGTATTATTAAATAACAAAAACTCTTCAAAATAATGAAGACTCTTATAACCAAAAAGTAAAGAAAATGAATATGAGAAAAATTCATAATAATCTTATATAAGAAAAAATACGAAAATCACTTGAAGAAAAATAGTATGAAGGATCAAAAGACATATGAGGACTGATAAAATTATCATATGAAGGGGGGAATCACAAGAAATGCAGCCAAAAAGTTAGGAAAAAAATGTTTTAGAAGTGTGTTGGAAGTTAATAAAAGTAGTTATTTCTAAAATAGACTTAAGAGCTATAGTGCCTGTAGTTTTAAATTGCAATATCAATGGTGTATAGAAAATTATTTCCTTTAACAATGAACATCCCTGTAAATCTATGCAAATCTGTATATTAAAAAAATATTTTATATGCAGGAACAATGTTTCTTCAAAACAATATTCTATGCAACAGGAGCCCTAAAGCAAGCAGAAGTTGCTATCCTATCTTCAGACAAAATGAACTTCAAGCCAAAAGTAATCAGAAGAGAGAAAGAAGGTTGTCACATCTGATAAAGGAAGCAATTCAAGAAGGCGAGATGACAACTTTAAATATGTATGTACCTAATACAGGAACAGCCAACCTCATCAAACAAACACTACTGGAGATAAAAGGTCAAATAAACTTCACCACAGTGATAGTGGAGGAACTCAACCCCCACTTTTACGAATAGATCAACTAAACAAAAAAAATCAACAAAAAATATGAGTTGAACTAAATCTTCAAACATAGACTTAATAGGGTAGTGCTCAGCCCAACAACAGGAATACACATTCTTCTCAACAGTACACACAATTTTGCCAGAAAACACATAGTAGGCCACAGTGCTTGCTACAATAAATACAAAAGAATCAAAACAATCCCAGGCACATTATCAGTTCATCATACATTGAAACTAGAAATCAATGCCAAAGGAAGCCACAGAAATTATGAAAACATGTGGAGATTTAAAAATACACTCTTGGATAATCACTGAGTCACAGAATAAATCAAGTATTACCCAGAATAAAAAAATAACAGAAGTACAACATATGAAAAGTTATGGGACACAAAGAAAGCGGTCATAAGATGGAAATTTTTAGTTCTGAATGCCCACATCAGAAAAACAGGAATACCAAATAAATATCCTAATTATGCACTAGAAAAACAAGAATAATCCAAGTTCAAAACTAATATGGGGAAGAAAATTACAAAGATCAGAGGCAAAATTAATGAAATTGAAAAAAATACAATTAATGAACTGAAGACCTTTAATGAAAGGACACAGAGAGGGAGAAAGTAAAAGGATTCAGAAAAAAACATTGATCACATAAAAACAGCTGTAGCTACAGTAAAATCAACCAAAGTAGGGCTTAAGGCAAAATGTCCTAGCATAATGAGAGATATTCCAACAATATAACTTCAAAACTGATAAAGCAAACAATGACAATTCATAAGAGATTTTAACATACATCTCTAAAAAACTGATGAAATACTCAGATAAAAACTGAGCAAAAACAGGGAGTTTGCACAGTGAAATGAATAAACCTGCCTTCCTAGACCTACGTAAAATATGTACATGGATGTGACAAAGTAAAAATTCTTTTAAATAACACTTATCAAAGTGAGTACATGTAGTACCTAAAGCAAAAAATGTAACTTGAAGATTCTAAATTATTCTGGATATGTTCTCTGACAAGAGAGAAATTATGCATCAGTATTTTAAAAATTCAGAAAATCTGCAGAGTCCATAAATTCAACAACACACTCCTAAATAAACAATGGGTTAAAACAGAAAGTGTCACATTAAAAATTATCTAACTTTCCTTCTACAAGAATAAGAAGGAAAATTAGAGTTGCGCTGAAAACACCGAATCAACCCGCGCCCTGGCAGCAATTCACTGGATACCCCCACCCACAGCTCCTTTGGCCTCTTCTCGGTACAGCCACCTGGTTCCACACTACAAAGATGCAGAGGACACTGGACCACCAGACCACTGTACTGGAGCTAATCAAGTTCTCA